CTAGCAGTGTTTATTTGGGGTTCGCTGTCCTCCGTGTCCTCGCGCGAGGTGTCTGTGCCAGTGTTTGCGTTCGCCGTGGTCCTGTCAAATGCCACTGGAACTGCGGAGCGGAGAGAGCCGCGCGTTTTCTGGCGCATTACGCAGTATGTCCTGAATTCCGACGCCCCGGTCTAGGCGTCGCCACTTGCTTCGCAAAGTCCTTGCAGCGAAGAGCCCGGGCGCCGATGTTTAGTTTTCGCGCCCTCGCCACAGTGCCAGAATCAGCGTTTGATTTGCGCCAGCATCTTGGATGCTTTCCCCTCTGTTTGGGCTAATGTCCGCGGAGGGTCCACACTGCCTTCGCCCGGCACGCGGTTCCAGCGCCGGCGCCGCCCCAACATTCAGGCCGCCAGGTCAGGGGGCCGCAGCTGGGATGTGGCTGAGATGTGGCCGCTGATTTACCATATCTTTGGCAGCGTGAGTTCTTCATATTTGTTCTGCCGACGCGCTGTCTAGGCGCGGCTTCTTGCGTGCGTGTCTGCGGTTGTCTGCGGCACGGCCGACGATCTGGCGGCACAGGAGGAGATGTCCACCCAGCATCTTCTGGCGGCTGGTCAGGCGCTCGCAAGTAGATCTCGGGTACCTACGCCACCGTGACCGCGCGGTTTTTCTTCATTCTGCGCGCCGCAGGTTTCCGATGATGTACTGTGGGAGTCCTGCTCTGTTGGGGCCCTCGTTTTTTTGGTCCGCTCTCTTCGCGCCCCCTGGAGCGCGTTTCTTCAGTTTCGGCGATAATGGGTATTATAGAGGGAGGGAGGCCAGGGGGGGGGGCATCATGTAACGGCTCCCCTCCGCCGTGTGCCCGATGCGCACGGCGGCAGTGCCCAGATCGCAGTGGGGTGGAGGGGCGCTACGTCCTAGAGAGGGGGGGAGGGGGGGGGCTATAATGCCCACTATGCCCCAAGCAATAAAGAAACACGCTCCTGTTTGCTGTCTTGCCGCCGTTGCTTTTCCCCGCTGCTGCTGCTCAGCGCCCTCTCCTGAGGGGCGGGCCTTCGCCTGGCCCGGCCCTCTGTCTGCCCGACTTTCGCGTCGTGAGTACCTCCTCCTCGTCCTCCTCCTCCTCCTCCTCTCTCCTCCTCCTCCTCCTCCTCCTCCTCCTCCTCCTCCTCCGCCTCCTCCTCCTCGCTCCTCCTCCTCCTCCTCCTCCTCCTCCTCCTCCTCCTCCTCCTCCTCCTCCTCCTCCTCCTCCCCTCCTCCCCTCCTCCTCCTCCTCCTCCTCCTCCTCCTCCTCCTCCTCCTCCTCCTCCTCCTCCTCCTCCTCCTCCTCCCTCCTCCTCCTTCCTCCTCCTCCTCCTCCTCCTCCTCCTCCTCCTCCTCCTCGTCCTCCTCCTCCTCCTTTTCATCCCGTCTTTCATTATTGCATTTGTTTATTTGCGCCAGCCTGCTCTCTTGCTCTCTCTCTTTCTCTCTCTTTTTGTCTCTCTCTCTCTCTCTTTCTCTCTCTCTTTTTCGGCCCAACGGCCCCGCGGCAACGACACGCCTGTTCCTCGACGGCGGGTTTCGCGAAAGTCTCTCTCGTGTCTGATGTCTGGTTGTCTGAGTCGGCAAGCGGTCTTCACAGTCGTTCTTCGGCTTCTGGCGCCTGGGGTTGCCTGACACAGGTGCTGGCGACCGGGAATCGGTCGGGCCTTGCCGAGCCGCCGCTTGTTTTTGTGACTGCCAGCGCGCCGCAGGTCTAGGATGATGCCATTCGAACCACCGACCCATCATGACCTTTTCTTGGCCGTCGGGTTTGCGAAGGCTTCTTCAGGCGTGATCATTGGCTTAGGTGCTGATCGCTCCTCTCCCCTCCGCCCTTTATCGTGGGCAATGCTTCGGGCTTGTACGATATCTGGGCTCACCTGGTCATAGGCTGTCATTTCTTCACTGCCACTGCTGCGCTGGGAAATACGAAAAATATCAAAACTCAGTGCCATTCATTATCTCATCATCGCCGTCATCATGGGCCCCACCAGTTGCGCGCCAGGCCAGCCCCCGGCAACGGGGAACCCGATTGAGACGATTGCGTCTTAGGCCGTTCCTGCCCCCCTCTCTTCTTCCTCTCGCAGTATCATTGTCGTCGTCGTCATCCGCGCCACTATTCGGCGTCACCCCAACATACTTATACTATATGTGCGTCGCCCCTCCCCCAAGGGGCGACGCGCGCACTGAAAAATCTTCTAGTACATGCGCTGTGGCGGGCGTTTTCTGGCCACACCCCTCGGGAAGCGATCTACTACAAGATCAGTATACTATGCATGTTCGCGTCGGACGCGCGCCTCCAAGGAGGACATATAGTATTAGAATTAAGTCGGGCCTGTCCCCCTTCAGGGTTTTTTTTTGACGAGAAGTATAAAATGCCCCAAACCCCAAACATACCGAAAACAAATCCAGAAATAGTCAGGGGACATGTTTTGAATATTGTTTTGTCTTTTGGGGGCATTGTTGGTGTATGTTTTATCTGTCGTCGAATATCCCCCTGTAGGGGGACAGGCCCGACTTAGCATTAGTCTGTCCCTGTGCGTCCCAATCCTCCACCTCCTCCTCCTCCTTCTCCTCCTCCTCCTCCTCCCCTGTTCTGGGCTCCGTTTCGTAGACTCGAGAAAAAAGGGTTCGACCGGAGCCCTCCTGGGAGGCCCCCCGTAACCGCAGAGGGTCTTTCATGATGCCCCCCCCCCCCCCCTAAGCTCTCGGCGGGGGATAGAAACTCGTCCCACCTCCTCCTCCTCCTCCTTCCCCTCCCTCCTTCCCCTCCGTCCTCCTCCTCCTCCTCCTCCTCCGCCTCCTCCTCCTCCTCCTCCTCCGCCTCCCCCCCCCCGGGGCATCCCCGAGGGCGTGCAAGCCATGGGTCCCGCGCGCCGCTGGCTCCCAAGGGTCTACGGTTGCGTCGGGTCTGTCCCTCTACAGGAGGGATATTCAAACATAGTCGAAAAATAGTCAGTGAACGATTTTTCTACTATGTTCAGCCTTTTGAACATGTTTGGATTATTTGCGTTCGTCCAACATCCGCCTGTAGGGGGACACGCCCGACCTAGGTCTACGGCTGGGAACTTTCGGATCGCGTGGCGCTCCGCCGGTGCTGACCGACCGCGCTTCGGCGCGACGCGTTCTTCCCCTCGGAGGCGGCGATGAGGGCGAATAGCCCAGGGGAGAGCAGTACGTGTATCCAGGGGCGCCGACGGCACATGCCTTCGGTGAAGCTCCCGGGCGAATACGTGTACACATTGCTCATTTCTAAGTTTTCGAAAGGTCTTTGATCTTTTAGGGGACCGAGATCCTTTCATTTCGAATTGTTCTGTCCTGGGCCTCTTCCTGGCCACCAGGGGACCAGGAACGATCAGAAACGAGCACAATTAGAACTGAGCACGGTTAGAAAGGAACGACGTGTGCATATAGCCAGGGGCGCCGACGGTACATGCTTTCGGTGAGGTTCCCGGGCGAATACGTGTAATGCCCGCCCCTGGGCTATTAGCCCCTACAGCCAAGACGATGAAAGCAGGAACAGCTTGGGTTCGGAAGGGGCTCGATGCTCCTTAGGTTCCTCCGAGCCGTTCCTCTCGCCCTCCTGGAGCACGGAGGCGCTTACAGAGCCAAGAAGGGGCTTCGTTCCTTATTTAGCGTTCCTTCTTACAGCAGCCCGACTGTATCTTGAGCAGGGACCGACCGCCCCAGCATTCCTAGAGTCCTACCACGACATGTTCTTAGAACCCAGAAATGTCCGAAGAACAACAACAATGTTCTTCGCAAAGAATCCCGATGTGTTCAGACAAGGCAAATTCCGCCAGAACTGTTCTAAGAACATTTCGTGGAAACCACAGAGGGTTCTTAGAACATTGTTGGGTAGGGCAACAGGCGAGCCAGGACGCTTCGCCACTGCTTGAGTATCGTCGCCGCCGACCCCCCCCTGCCCCTTCGGCGTCGACGTCCCCGGCCTCTCCGAGCCTCCCGCCCGCCCCTGGGCTATCCGCCCCTATCGCCCCTGGGCTATTCGCCCCTACAGCCGGGGCCCTGGAGAAGGAACCCTTTTGGTTGGGGAGGGGCTCGGTGTTCCTTGATTGTTCGACAGTTTGCCTTCTGTTTTCCTGAGGTTTTCCATGGGAAGTCGAAGTTCAACTTATGGGAGAAAGGGGTCCCGTTCCTGATTTAGGGTTCCTTAGGTCAACGCCCCGACTGTACCCTCGCCGCCGACCCCCTCCCTGCCCCCTTGGGCGTCGACGCCCCCCGGGCCTCTCCGAGCCGCCCGCCCGCACATCCCGGAGCCGCGCGCTGCCCCGGGCCGCCGCCGCGGGCGCGCTGTGCGCTGCAGGCGGGCGTGCCCCGTCCACAGGAGGGGCATTCCAGAAGTAGTCCAGAAGACAGTCTGGGGACGATGCTTTGAGGATTTCTGGACTGTGTTTGGCTAGTTTGGGGTAGTCAAGAAAATAGTCAGGGGTCGATGCTCCGAGGATTTCTGGACTGTGTGTTCGGCTAGGTTGGGGTAGCGTCTTTTGTTCAAAAACAACGACGGAAGCATATACATTGCCAGTCGCGGGCAGTTTTTCAATCCCAGAACTGTCTGAGGGTCCGGGACGACGTCGGAGCGGTGTGGCGTATACTATGTTCCCCGTGTTCCAGGGGAAACGACGAAAAATGTATACACCAGCGTCCCGTATACACCAGAATCCGCTCTCCTGTGCGAAGTCCAGTGCGGGGCCGGAAGAAGTGTCGGTGTATAGAGTTCGGTTCCTTACATTCAAAAGTAGTCAAGAAAATAGTATGGGGACGATGCTTCGAACATATCTGGACTGTGTTTGGCTAGTTTGGGGTTGTTTTTCCCTCTCGAGAAAATCTGTATATAGGAGGACATACCCGTCCTGAGGCTATGTATGAGCTCCCGGCCGCGCAGAAGGGCACAGCCGTGGTGGACTGCTGCCACCACGGCGAGGCCGCCGTGGAGGTCGCCGCCGCACCCACGCCCGGGGCGTTCGCAAGAGGACGAGGCGGGCATTGGTGCAGTTTGTGATCCTCGACGACATCGGGCCGATCTACACACCGATGATAAAGGATGACGGCTGGCTCCTCCTCGTCCTCGTCGTCCTCTTCGTCGGCCCCGTCCATCCTCGTCCTCCCACTGCTCGTCCCTGTCGACAGCTCCCATCCTGCCCTTCCTCCTGCGTCCCCACTTGTGGTCAGGATGATGCCTGGCTGATGCTGTTTTTCTTCCCTTTCCTGCTGGTGGTTTCTATTATCCTTATGAACGTGGAGACCTTAGTGGGGCCCAGAGTCGGCAAGGCTCTTTGTGTGTTCGGCAACTTGTGCGTTCGTCGCGGGGACAGAAAAACGAGTCTCCACGGAAGCGAGACAACCTAGCTCGCCGAGCACCGACGAGGCGGCACCCTTGGCGGTGGGGAATGGGGAAAAACATATTTGCTCGTAGAATCCAGGATCCTCCTCCTCCTCCTCCTCCTCCTCCCCCTCCTCCTCCTCATCATCATCATCATCATCATCATCATCCCTCCTCCTAGGCCCTCCGGCTCAGGGCCCTCCCCTCCTCCCAGGCCCTTCTCCTCCTGCTGGGCCATTTGCATCCAGGATCCGGAGCTTGCCCGAAATTGTTCGAGGTTTGAAGAAATGAAGATAAAACAGTTATAATAACAAAATAATTTGAAATAGCAAATGTGAGCCAGCGTTCCAGCCCAGCCTTCTGGGTGGCGACTGCTCGACGGGGCACGGGAGGCCGTCACGTGTGACGCTTCGTGTCTCCAGGCTTGGGGGAGCCGGTCTGAGAGTGTTGAGGATGATGTGGACGATGATGTGGACGATGATGTTGATGATGATGATGATGGTGATGGTGATGATGGTGATGGTGATGGTGATGGTGATGGTGATGGTGATGATGCTGATGATAAGGGTGATGGTGATGGTGGTTCTGGTGGCGATTAGGAGGAGCATGAGCAGGAGCAGGAGGAGGAGGAGGAGCAGGAGCAGGAGGAGGAGGAGGAGGAGGAGGGCCGTAGCCATTTTGGCTCAAGTAAACCATTTCCCGAGGCTGGTCCAAGGTGACCCATGGTCATCCCCCGAGCAGTGGCCCAGCCCAGGGTGGGGGATTTCTGTTCAAGCATTCACTGCCAGTCTGGCTACTGTGGTGGATTGTCCACCTTTCTCTTTTCTTGCACTTTCGACATCGCTAGACCGCGATGGGCAGCCATGAGTTTCATGCTTTGTCGGAGGAGGAGCGTCGCCGACTCTGCAAGGAAGTGGAGGACGCCCCGACCTTCCCTTCCCAGACCAAGGTGGGCACGCCAGGTCGTGCTCGTGCAGCTGCTGCTGGTCCTGCTGCTGGGTTGGACAGTCCTCGATATGCAAGAACGCGAAGCCCCCCTGATGGCCGACGTGGTGCTGTCCCAGGTGCCCCTTCACGTGGAACTGGTACCCCAACTCGTGTAGCAGAGGAGCCCGTCCCTATGGAGGAGAGTGAGTTCCATGAACCAAAGGAATATGATGATGCGGCCCTCAACGACCTTCGTGGACATGTTTCGAGCCTTCATGCAGATCTTCTTAAGTCCATCCAATATGTCCAAACGAGTGTCAATGGTGCGCTCTCGACCCCCACGAAGAATGTTACTTCTTCGTACAAGTCTCTCAGCCAGCATATGGAAGGCCGCATGCATGGAGTTGAAACTAGCGTACGTCAGCAGAATCGGAAGATTGATGAGTTGGACGAATAGATCAAGGCCACCCAGCGTGAGTTGCACATGGTTCAGACAGAGCAGCCGCCGAAGTTCATCCCAGATGACATCAGCGCCTTCAACAGAGAGGTGGACACCGCCGTCGTGGTCATCCGTGCGCAGTCGTTGGTGGCAAAAACTGAAGTGGCGGTCGGCTTGGAGGCGTGGCTTTGGGATTGCAATATTGACCCCTCGGAGTGGGCCTTCGATGAGCAGACGCCCACAGGGACGAAGTTCACGCTCAGGTCCAAGGGCAATCAGCACTTGGCGGCAAGGAAGGTGGGCCAGGTCATCGGCGCCCTCCGCACGCCGGTTGTCAACGGTCAGCCTGCGACGTGGAGATCTTTTTCGGGGACTGCAGTGGCAGGCGGTCGCACAGCCTTGCACGTGGGCCCTGACAAGAACGCGTGCCAGATCAAGCGCGAGCTCGGGTGTAAGAAGGTGCGTGCAACTCTTCAGCAGCTCTACCCAACGAAGAGGTACTTCGTTGACAAGTTCCGTGGCGAGGTGCTGGCGGGGTCGAAACCGCTCGTACGCGTCGCCCCCAAGGAGGGCCAGGAGTTCCCGTCGCTCGAGCGGGCTGAGGACAACCTGCGCTACGAGCAGATGGACATTCAGCTGGTCCGGGATCGAATCGTTGCAGACGTGGGCTCGTCACCGACGACTGTGTGGTGTGTTTAACACCCTGGGCGCCCTGTGGCACGGTGCTGAGAAGCGCGAAGGGGCGCCTCTCTTTCGCTTGCGAGTCGCGACATGGAATGCGAGGGCATTGTTCCATCATGACGACTCGCTTAGGGTTCGTAAAATCAAATATTTACGCCGTCTACTAGAGACGGGTTCGGTAGTTGCCCTTCAGGAAACGCACGGAGCCCCTTGTGATGTTGAGGACCTTCTCCATTCCCTTCACCTGCCCTTCCACGCCTGCTCCTCCTTCCACCACAATTTTCGTACAGGAGGCGTGATCACCCTTTTCCCAAATGTTTTTTCCTTCTTCTGCTAGGGAAGCCGTCACTGGTGCCCAGCTCCCGCTTCTCTCCTCGACTCCGATCGTTCCTGGAAGGGCTCTCCTCACGAGTTCCTCGGCAGTAAACGGACGCTGTGGTGTGAGCCTCTTTCACATCCACAACCGCGGGCTGTCCCAGGCTGAGCAGGCGCCCCTCCTCGGCTGGATCAAGGACGAACTTTCCCTCGCTCAGGCTGACCCCCATTAATAAACTGGTTCTTATTGCGGGGGACATGAATCTCCCTTCCCATACCCCTCTGCCCTATGACCCCCAGGACCCCACCACCCTCTCCCCTGATGATGTGACCGACCCCATCCCCTGTCGATCTCCCCCCTGCGTGGAGGGATGCCCTGGCCATGGCTGTTGAATTTGAACTCCTTTCCCCAGCCCACTTCGCCGCCGCCCAAAATACCATCGGAATTATCGATAGGGTCTTCTCCTCGTTGCCTGGCTGGATCCTCTCGCAATTCGCCTCTGGAGGTGCCGTTAGGGAGCGCCCCGAAGTTTTGGATGCCCAGGGCTTGTCGGACCACGCCCCCGTGGAAATCTGTATCTGCGCGCGTCCCTTCACTCCTGTGGCCGAGCGTTCGATTCCGAGGGCCGTCTTTGAGTCTGGTGAGTTTCGGAGCTTTCTGAAGAAGGCGCTTGCTGCTTGTCCATTGGATGAGCTCTCGCCGCCGATGGCCCATGATTATTTTGAATTCCTCATGTTGGAAGCGAGTCGGTACGCTCGGGACTTGATTATCTTCAAACGACCTCAGACCCGCACTGCAAGATATCTAATGGCCAGGAGTATGGCGAGAGCTGTGTTCAGGCAAGATTGGTTGCTGGCGTGCTGGCTTTTCCGCTCGCACGAGCTCTGCAGGGAGCACTTGAACCTCAACTACGACACCCACCTCGTCTCCTTCTCCAACCCTCAGGCCTGGACGACCCTATCCAACTCGCTCCACTACTTCCTCGCCGAGTCGACCCAACGTTCCCTGCAGGCTAGTGCTCAGCGGCTCCACGGCCCGTCGGCGGTCGCTCGTGTTGTGGGCCGAGCTCGCCGTGTTTCGCGGCTCGCCCGACTCTGGTCGCCGTTCGATCGGCGCGTCATTTTGGCCGGTGTGAGATTAGGCCCCGGTGCGGTCGAGCAATCTCCCGCTGCGATCACGCGATCGCTCACGCAGCACTGGGCGCCAGTGTTCGAAGCTAAGGAGTACCTCCACGAGGCGGCAGAACAATTCCTGGACAGATTCCCCCCTGACCTCAATTGTCAAGATATCCCCCCACCTACGTTTTCCAAGTTTCGGAAATTCCTGGACCACCAGTGCGAAAGCGCCCCTGGGCCCGACCGCCTCCCTTATAGCGCGTGGAAGAGCGCCCCTCTTGGAGATGAAGTGCCGTTCAATTCGACGAGGTGGCTCCATGCGGGGCAGTCTCTCACCTTTGGGTGCAATGTGCTGCGGGGTGTTTTCACCCCCGAGGGGGCCGACCCTCCTGGAGATATCCCTGGGGCGAGGCGGCCTGCGGAGACGAGACCCCTGGGATTAAAGAACTGCGGCAGTAAAATCATCGCTGCGATTTCGGCCCGCCCTTTGACGGCTGCTCTTCCTTCTGGTCTTGACGGAGCCCAGCGGGGCTTCGTCCCCCGGCGAAACTTTGGCAATGGCATAATTGAACTCGACGCTTTAGCCCGTCATGCCAGTATGACTGGTGACCCCCCCTCTCTTCTTCCCTCTCCCCTCTGCTTTGACTTCGGTCAAGCTTCCCCTTCGATGTCCCAACAAGGCTCTTTGCCGTCCTCCGTCGCATCTCCCTCCCTCCTCCTCTCTTCGCTGTTCTGGTGAATTTGTGCGCCAGCGTCATCTGTCTTGGCCTGATAGGCGGGGAAGAAATGGTCCTGTTCTGGATTGCCAGCGGCATTATCCAGGGGTGTCCTGCGAGCGGGACTCTGTTTGCCCTCGGGGCCGACCCTTTGCTGAAAATGTTTCGACAAAAGTTGGAAACCCCGAAGCTAGGCCTTGTACGAGCTTGCGCTGATGATATAGGTGCGATTCTATTTCGTTTGCGGGGCCTCGGGATCCTGCACGAGATTTTCGGGGCTGCGCAGACCCTCGCGCACGTGGCGCTGAAGATAGCGAAGTGCAAGCTTGTGCCCTTGGCGGCAGAGTTTAACGAGATGATCGCCGCTCGCTATCGTCTGGTGCTCGCTCGAACCGTTCCTGGTTGGGAAAACTTCGACGTGGTCTCTCGTGCTTTATACCTTGGCCTCTGGATAGGCCCGAGTGTGACCCAACTAACCTCCTGGCTGGACCCCTTCGCGAAGTATGTGAAGCGAGCACGGATGATTGCAGATGAGGGCGCTCCGACCCAGCTCGCCGCGCACCCGTGCGCGAGGCGCGCGGTGACGGTGCTCTCGTACGTTGGCCAGTTCCAGCTGCTGTTGCCCCAGCACCGAAAGATGGATCACGCAGTGCTAGCAAGTGTATTCGCTCTTCTTTGTTTCCGTCTTGGCGCTCAGGGTTGGCCTAACTTGGCTAAGTGG